AAAGTTTCTTTGTTTTTCAAGCACTTGCCACATAATTACAGAGTCTATAATGAGTTGCTCCTTGCATCTCTGAGATCCAGGTCTGCATCCTTTCTGTTCATTTGCTAAGATGTTTTGTTCTTCAATGTGTGTCATCATCATTTGTGAAACACAAGATGTTATGAGTTTTTAAAACGTTTGAAGGCATGTTATAAGCCTGTACTTCGAGGGGTCTTTAGTGTCTCCCTCCTTTGGTAACAAGAATGTTCTACCTTCAGTGAGGAAGTAAGGTAGATTTTCTGGATTGAGAAGAAAATATTGAATTATATTAGCTATATGATGGTGAGTGTTGGTAAATTTTTTGAGCCAGTAATTGTGCAGGCCATCACTGCCTGGTGCCTTCCAGTTATGCGCTTTGTTCAAAGCAGCTTGAACAATTTCCACGATGATGATTGGTTCACCCATTAGAGGGATATCTCAGTGTCTGTCATATTCCATTTCAATCCACGTCTTATCTGGGTTGTGAGACACAGCAGATGACCAGATAGGCTTCCAAAAGTCCTCTATTTGTGCCTTTGAGGGAAGCTTTGTCTCTTTCATATCATTTACAAGCCCTTTGCCCTTTGACATATTCCTGTAGAATGCTCTCTGTTAAAAAGATAATTCTGTTGCTTCCTCGTAGTGCAATTCCTGTAGCGTCGAGGCATTTTGTTAACGCCAAAAGCTTTTGTCGTAGGGTGTCAAAATGTTCTGTTATTGTTGAATTCAAGGGCTCGTGCTTCGTATGTATTTTTGTATTGGTAAGGATGTTATTCACCTTTCTTCTCAGTTTTTCTGAGATATTTACTTTCTTAAATTGTATGAGCTTCCCAATATCTCTTCTGCGTTCTATACGATTCACCAGCCGTCTTTCCCAAAGTGGCATTCTTTTTTCACTTCGATCATTGTGGGCAGTTGCTACGCGGCGGAAAAGCTTGGAATCGTTACATCTTAAAGCCACAACCGCAGCACAATAAATTGCTGTGTGTACGTCTTCAAAAGATGGTCTTTGTTGTAGATGTTGTGGCAGTACTTTCTCATTCAAGACGCTGATTGCTCTTGCTAATTTCTTCGATCAATTGTGTCTGGGAATGAGATAGCGGTTCAGTGGGTCAGTTCCTTCAAATTCCGCAAGTGCGACTGCAAATTCATTGCGAATTTGCACCTCTTCACTACTCTTATCATCCATACTTTCTGACGTGCTTGTCCCATTGTCATCCTGAGTTTGCACAGCTGATATTTCCACTGCTCTCAGATTACTAGGTTCTGAGGAGTTAAGCATTTTTCACACTTCTTTCTTGATTGCTTCCAAAACTTGTGCAGAGATTATTATTATTATTATTATTATTATTATTATTATTATTATTATTATTATTATTATTATTATTATTATTATTTGAAGCATACTATTTTCATGCATTAGATATAAATTGTCCTCGTTTTTTTTCATGCACTCGTCTCCTTATATTAACTCATGTATACAAATCGCCTCATTCTGATCCAGTGCTCTTGAAGGGCCACTTCCTTCCTGTGCAAGACTTGTCCCGGCCGACCCTCGTCAACACTCGCTGAGGTTATAAATCTGCTGGTAGTGAAGCAAATTCTTTTACTTGATAAAGTCCGTACCGCTTGGACTGCAGAAGGGTAAAACTACGTAACTAAAAGGATAGAAAACAGATTTCATTAAGGCAATATATCTCTTTGTTCAATATTATAGTTGTAGAAAGACGTTGGAAAAAACTTTTGAAGTTTACCAAAAATTAGCGATATCAAAGAAAAGAGTATTGGGACCTTCTGTTAAGCGTCCTTTACACTACTCAAAGAGAAAGTAGTCAAAAGTTAATAAAACATTGATGCAATTTTTGAGAAATTTTTGACAATGCACCTCCCAAAAATATTGTTTTCAAATTCAAGGCGCCACGACATCAACCAGATCAACAAAAGTATATCATTTTTGGAGAAAAGGTTTAGACGCTAGCGTTGATCACAGGCGTAGAAAGGGCAGAAGGACAAATGGACGTTTTGCCGTCAATTGACTTTTCGATATCAAGGACCCACAAAACATGCATTCATACTACACAACATGTTAGAGGAAGCAATTTACTATGTATATTTGAACAAACTTTATCCACGTTTTACTCACTAAAGCCCGGCTATTAGAGTTAATTACAGAGAGCACAATTAAAATGCTTCTCTTCTTACGTACGTAAGTGCTAGAAAATAAAAAGGACGTGGACGACATCTGTCCCTGCCGAGAGGATCGCAAATGACTTAAGTATTTATGCTATTGCCATGTATCTAATATCTTAAAATATTTTAACATAAACCTACAGAATAGAATTGTAGTTGGAAAAGGATTCCTTTAGTGAATTTTCTCCTAAGTTTATATTTGCCTATAAAAGTATCCTAATACGCGTTAAGTGCCGATTGTTCTTCAGACAAATTCCTATTTACGGGCCCTGGTATAAAAAATAGAATAACTCATACACCACTGTGGTATTAAATTTCTTTTCTCTAATACATTGTGAGCTAAATTCATGTTTTATGGTTATTGATACCGAAAAATTAGTTTGCGGTTAAACGCTTGCCCGTATGTGGTCAACCCTAGGTCTGAAATCTTTCAGACAATTTTCTCCGCAATTGACTCTCCCCAGTCCATCAGGCCGAAAATGAGGCCTTGAGAATTTGAAGCCGTTATTTTGATTTGATAAACAGTCTAAACCTTTTCTCAAAATTGTTTCCCAATTTTCAAATTATTTTTTTTCTCAGGGGCTCTAAAAAATTGGTGCAGGACTGATTTTTGCTGAATTATCCGATGTTTCGAAAACTGCATATGTTAATAATTTTTCGACTTTCTACAACAACAGTATTGAAAATAGAGATTTTTGTTTAATGAAATCTATTCTTCAAAGACATCTTTATAATAAGATCATGTATATTTTTCGAAAGTATGGGTAGTTTTCTTTTAATTTTGGATTAAATGTAGACAATTTTCAAAATACACATCTACAGTATTGAAGGTATAGATTTTTCTTAATGAAATCAATTTTTTGAAAATAGATCTTGTAATAACGATAATGAAACTGTTTTTATTAATTAAAAATGAAAATAATATTCTTTTTTTTGTGAATTGCGTGCTAAACCCAAGTTCGAATACTGAATCTGAGCTGGAATCCCAGCATAGAAAAAACTTTTTACTGATTAGAAACACTTTTGCAGGTTCAAATGATATTGTAATATTGCGTAGCTATCACAAATAACGGATGAGACGTGTACTGTTGTAGCATCTTTAGTGTATTTACAGTGTTGAGTGTGAGTGCGTTGCAAAAGACGACTAAGGCGTGATGCGCGCGGCGCAGTGGGGATTGTGGCAGCTGGAGCAAGCATCGCGCCAGACCAGACGCCACCAGCGCTTGGTGCTCTTGGAACGTGAGCGGCTGGCGCGAGCTGCTGCACCACAGCACGTGCGCTTCCTCATGGACACCCGCACCTATCTTCCATGGACCGGGTCTCTGGCGCGCGCAGGGGCTCTTGAGCGGCTGGCGGCCGCGCTGGCGCCCTTCCCGCTATCCCACGCTGGCGCCCGTTGCCACGTTGCCTTTGCCCGGCGCTGAGCAGTGCCGGCCTTGCCAGCGAAGCAACCTCACTTTGCTCCAGCATGCCTGCAGATTATGTCGGACGCTGCACTACGCTGGACTAACACCCGAGGGCCTGTAGCCCGAGGGATTGGAAGTCGCTTGAGAGGCAAAAACTTCTGGTAGCGCCCGTGTACATACAAATATTTGTGGGTTACTAGTTCATTGCTGAATGAAACAAAAATTCGAAACATTTCATAATTTTTCTTACGCCTAAAGTGAAAAGAAGCATTGTAATCGTCATTTGTCAATATGACAGAGTGTGTGTCTAAAGACTTATTTGTTCGTACAAAATGAAAGAATATTGTTAAGTGCAGAAATACTCGCCAAAGATAGCAAAGCTACGGTCTGTGGTTTCCAGTGAAACGGTACTAAGACTTTGGTAAAACGATATGAAATATAGATTATTTGATTTTATTGCAACAAAGTATTTAAATCATAGCATCAAAAAATAACATTTCGTGGATGTTAGTCCATGTGCATTATACTTATTACTACGAGTAATTACTGCTACTCAAGAAGTACATACTATGTTTCTAAAAAACAGATATGGCAACAGTGAAATATGAGTGACTGGTGGTAATTGTGTATTCATGGGAATATTCCAAAATTGCACGTGTCATATCAATTAAGCAAAGTAAGGATTATAACAAGTTATTTCACCTATTTGAGCATTATGTCATTTATTATTGTATTTGCTTACGTTTTAAATTTAATAAATCGAAATCATAAAAATGTGTTTTGTGTTGGTACTAGAGCGGGCCGTTTGTAACGTTTCTCGATGGTGAATTAAAACACACCGACAAGTATTATTTAACAAAAACGTTTATTTGTAAACAATGATACACTAAAAATACTAGATCGTTTACAAATATATTACACAGTCCTTGTGTTCTTCACTTGATTATTTTCCTTACATACGACTCCGTTCTCTTGATTATTTATTTACACAGTTCACTTCTTCTACACTATTGCACAGTCCGCTACACTGTCCACGGTCCACTGCGCTGACCACAATTCCCTGCTCAAACTATGATCCTCTGCACTGCTGTTTACCGCGATGCACACTTCACAGCTCAGCTTCCGCTTCAGACTTCAAACCGCTAACTTTTGTTTCCCCACTGCACCAGTGTTCACCGCAATGCACACTTTACAGCTCAGTTTTAACTTCAGACACAATGACGGACTGACTGTTTACTACTTGACTGATTACATACACTGACTCGCGGCTGCTTACTTCCGACTACTACTCGCGGCCGCCGGCAGCGACGAATTTATACCTGGCCGACGCTCGTCTCGACACACCCTGCACTTGCTCCACCTTTCCACGTGACTTGCGAATAGCCCGGATCCGTCCAGTTCGGGGGGAAGGGGAGGGGCCGGCAGATGACGCAATCCGCGCAGCGAATCCCGGCAGATGATGCAATATTTGTCACAGTAATCAAAAAGCCTGAGAGCATAAAGAATCAGAAAGGCTCGCAAGGGTATTAACAATACTGTAAGATGTTTTGTTTGAGGTCCGTTAACAGAAAGGAATAGAATAGTAAATCATAAAATAATATTCATTTCTTCTTTTATTTTTAGGCCCGGACCTAGAAAAACTTATTCTAGAGCAGAAAATTTGGTCTAAAGGTTGAAAAACATTTATTGAAACTCTTCGTAATATTTACGTTGCTTATTTTATAGAAAATACTTCAAATGAATGATATAAAAATTGTGTTTTTTTCGTTGCGTCAAGAAAAATAATCACGTCTTATTGTTAATAACTCAATAAATTACAATTAACAGTATCAATAATCTATTTAAGAAATGGCTCAAGAAATAATGTAGTTGGCAAATGGCATGATTGTACTTATGATAGATGATCTATGATAAATACATAATTTGTCAAAATAAGTGTAACATTACATGACGACCATTAACAATCACGGTCAACAGCAACAGAATGTAATCATCTTAATACGTATTGTGCATTACAATACATCATTTGACATAACATTGCGGCAATGTAGGTGCTTAACAGATTCTTGTTTTTTTACAGCATGTTGGTAAGGTTAATTTCCTTTAAAATATTAAAGAAATTTTCAATCTGATGTTGTTGTTAAGAATTTCTGGAAGAGTGAGAGATAATGCACATTTTTGCGGATATCTTTGTAAATGGAAAAGAACAACATCATGTGTGGTATAGAGAGAGAGCAGATGGGAATTAGCTACATTTTTTCATTTCTTTTGTTATTAAATAGTGATGGGTTAGTTTCGAATGGCCAATTCTTAAAGGGGTGAGAACACTTTGATATTGTATCTTGTGAAGGTAATGAAGGAGGTCATCGAAGTTATTTTCCTGATCTGATGTAGTTGATTAGGTGATTTGGTCCATTAATTATTCAAACGATATTTGTTTTTTTGTTTTTTTGAGAAGTTATTTTTTGATGTCATTGTGAGAAACTGGATGCTCTTCAATAGGCTCTTGTGCGACTTCATCAGCTAATATATTGTCGGCTTCAATACAATGGGATCAAAATAAGAATTATTTCCTTTTTGTTGTGCCATAGTATATGTTAGCTCTTTCATCACTATATGTTCCTGGTTTTCAGCTTTACTTACGCTTACTACTCAGCTTTACTTACGTTTGTTCTTGGATATATTTAAATGCGAGAAGAATGACAAATGTTTCACAGTAAAAACATAGAGCAATAATCATTTAACATTGAGTCTGTGTGGAAAAACTTTGAGTCTGAGGTTCATATTTATGGAGGTTATGATACCATGGAGGTCTTTTTTCAATCATAGTAGTTCGAATAGTAAGAAAAGTAAAATGTATTTCTTGAAGATACTGATTCAGGAGACAATAAACTGCTTTTGGAGCATAGTGTTTCTGTGTATAGTAATATTTTCTCCAGAAAACATTCTTACAAACAGGGATATCAGGAGTGGATGATATTTTATTGGCATATGAAAAACATAGCATCTTCTTCTGATATGAAGAAATTCTTCATTGTATTCTACAAGAATGCTCAAAATTGGACTCCTTCGATATGCGTAAAATGGATAAACTTAAGCGGCTGAGTGGATTGGATATTTAATATTGTTGGCTTAGCTGACTGATAAATAATTGCTTCATAATCTATTTTGGAATGAATAAGAGCTTTGTTTGTTGAAAGTGTAACATTGTCAGCACCCCGTGAAGCTAATAAAATGGCTTTTATTATATTCATTCTTCGAAGGCATTCAGCTTTTAAATTCTTGATATGAGGTATCCTTGTTAGTTTACTATCAAATATTAATCCTAAGATTTCGAATAGGATAGAATATTTTAGTTCTTGTAGATCTATTTCAAGCTTTAACTGATTATATAAGTTTTGAAACAAATGCATTGAGATTTGTTTTTAGAGATGTTGTATTGGACCAATCTTGAATTTGGTCAGATGGTCAGTTGTACAATGGTTTCTTCTGAAACCACTTTGGAATGGTGAAATTTTATTACAATATTCAAGATACCAGTTAAAACAATTTTTGCCAGTAGTTTATAGAGGGTGGTAGTTAAGGATATAGGTCTGTAATATTCAGGTTGGTTGAATCTTTCTTAGGTTTAAAAATCGGTATAACTATAGATTCTTTTCATTGGTCAGGATTTTCGCCAGTGGTTATTATTTCATTGAATAGTTGGGTTACATATATTGTCGGCAGTTATTTAAGAAAAACATTATATATTCCATCTGGTCATGGGCTTGAATTTCTAGTATGAGCTAGCAAAATTTCAACTTCGTTTACTTGTAAGAGATAGTTTAATGTACAATTACATGAAAAGTTTTGTTGGATAATTCTATCCATTGTTATTTTCAAATTAGATTCCTATGCTTGGAATTAATCGTTAAAATTACTCTCGCTTGAATTATTTGCAAACGTTAGAAGAGTTAATTCAGTTGTTGAGTAATATTAATTTAGATTGGATGTGCTGCTTCTGACAACCATAGACAGCTTTGATTTTCTTTTCAATTCTGTGTTGGGTTAGAGAAGCAATTTATTGATGAGACGAAATGAATCCACTATTGCCTATTATTTTCTTTTTTATATTCGTCTTGCCTTTGCCCGAGTTCTTTTATATTCAATATGATTTTCTATGGTTCGATCCCTCTTATACACGAGGCATTGTTGAAGGAGTGTCTGTACAGTTTATGAGCATTTTTGCAGTCTTCATTCCACCTAGGGAGTGTTTCCATATTGGTTTTCCAGACGTTTTTGGAATTGTTTCACTAGCTGTTTTGAGGATGAGATTGTTTATTATATATTCCCTCTTATACTTATCATATAATGATGAAACAAGACATTAATTTATACACCTCCGTTTATATTCGTCTTCTCAATCATTCCGTATATCGATACATATTTTTCGAACATAGAAATGCTTTCTCACGCAACAATCTCTCCGACAATTCAAAGGGTCGTTTTCAGCTGCCTCTGAATTTTTCAGCTCCTAATGTCAACAACAATAAAAATAAATATTAGTACGTATACACACAATATAATAAAAATTTTCTCCCTTTCGTTTGAGCACGCTTGATTCTTTCGTGTGAACCCGAAATAAATCAATTCATATCACCATTCCCAACGATAACATAAGTCTTTGTAAGATGTTTTTATACACATCTTTTGTTAGGATATCAGTTTCTAATTCTTGAGTACTACGGTGTCGTATTATTATGTTTTCATTTTCTACGTCTTCTCTCACGAAGTTGAATTTTCTCACAATATGCTTGTTTCTGGCTTCTACTTTAAATTATTATCAACTACAATCAATTATTGATGTATTATCTGCATAAATCGTGTCAGGTTCCTTAATAAATGTATATCTTCGATTAGCGCCTTTACACTGTGCGTCGCACATGGCATCAATTCTGCTTCCATTGTTCATGAAGCTACCATTCTTTACTTCTCACATTTCCAACTTATTAGCGATTTACCTATTTCAATTGTATAACCACCATAAGATTTACTGTCTAGCGTTGAACAGCAACTGGCATCTGAACTAATACTAAAATAGCCTGGTGATTTATACAATCTTAATTTGATGTTACTCGACCCTTTGATTACCTTAACGTTCTTTTGAGCGCTTGCAAATGTATTGATCTCGGATCCCCAGAGAAAGATGAAAGTTTGCTATAGGTGAACGATAAATCATAATCTATTCCGCTTACCTGTCAGGAGACATCTACTACTTATGTGGCTTTAAACTTCGTATTTTTATCACTGGATTTCTTTTAAAATATCCCTTTACTTCTTAGAATTTTCTCATGGTTAACGCTCTCTCGTTCCATTACTTCCCACGAGTCGTAGTTTTGAAGACCATTTAGTTCCTTTTGTATTTTTTTCCATTCGTCCTTATCCTTTCCATCAGCAGCTTCACAAGTTTCTTGGAACTGTTCCTTGCGTCAAGTTTGCCTTCGCTTTGAATCTTCCTAAAGGATGACTTATTCTCGACGATCTTCGCAGTTCTCGCCTTTTTTCAGATTTGTTAATATCATTATTTTATAACACATCTTGTTCATTCTCAATTCGATTACTTATTTAATTAGAAGATAGATTACAATTTCTAGTCTTATCCCATTCTGCATTCCACGTCTATCAAGATTTCTTATTTCTTCCTCCACTTATCAACTTTTCATTCGAGATTTCATCAGTAAGCTTGTCGTAAACCAGAATATTTATGTTATTAAAATCAATTTTATTAGAAA